ATAACTGACGAGAATAAAATCTGAGCACTTTGTAATCCTCTTGTGAACTCCAAGCCTGAAGTCAATCCAGAAAATCACATTTTCATAATATGTGGTAATAGTTACGGTTAGGTTGTATTGAATTTTGATTCAGCTCCTTGACTCAGGGCTGTAATCAGTATTTCTTCCAAGTCAGGTAGTGAGGTTCCTTTGTAAACTCCGGTTTTCAAACTCTGCTGATTTATTTTTCTTTTTGGAACTAGAGTTCACACATGAAGTGGATACGTGTGTCGAACAATCCATCAATAATGCCACTCTGGCTCATATATGAAGAATGACGACTTGATAATGGACAGGATTGCCAATGTCAACTGTGTAATCCTGCCCCACAAAACTACCTTGAGAGAGAGAGAGGTAAACACAGCAAATCAGAGGAGAAAACCAACTGTCTTTGACCTTTGCTTCCTTCTAATTCGGGTATTCATGTCATTTTTTTCAGTTCCTCTTGTCTCTCCATCTCCTGGAGATGCTGATCTTTACTGAGCTATAATTCCACTACATCTCATCCAAGCTATCATTGTTCATGTGTGAGCCTTCACTGTGAATGTCAGTGGTTACTTTACTGGGGGGAGGGGGGTGCGGGCGAACATATGACATGCAAACCTGAGCCTATTCCTTGTCCAGCATCAAGATCCAGAATCTCCGCTCCCTGTTCTCCCGGGGCTGAGCTAATTGCAGCAACTCACTACTGCCTCAACCGAGACCTAGCATAAAGATCAAACCTGGTCTTATATCTCAGTAATATACTGGGGGACATTACTGAACCATTGGGGAACTCTATCACTTTCATTTTTGACTGAGAAATATGGCCGGGCATGAAAAATATATGCAGGTATTTTAATGATACTTCCTCCACCCCCTGCCTTGTTATCATGTAACTGTAAGACATATAGGATTTGCAAATTGAGAGTAAAATATGGGCAACACTGCAGTTTATTGTACTGCATGGCTGCTAACAACCTATGACGTTTTACTTATTTTCTTTCCATATTATGTTACAGCTGCCCGGGTACATGCATACCTTCCCGATATATCAACGTGTTTTGCAAACATTGTTAAGAAGGATCCTGAAATCCCAAACCAGTATTGAATTATTAAGGATACTAGTAGTGACAGAGAACTAGACAAATGATGGTTCACTCTCCTTTTAGAGTGGTGTCGTAGGGAAACAAAGAACACATCCGAAGCACACCTCAATTGTTCAAGGTACAGACAGAGTATACAAATGTTATTTGCATGGATTCAAATAGGATTTAAGTTTATATTCTAAAATGGTCATATCTGCCTATTCAGTTGGATGGTTAAATGTTAGTGGAAAGAAATCATGTAAAGTTTTTGTTGTTGAAGTAGCAGAAACAGTTTAGGGAAACATTAAGGACAGAAAAGGTGATTCATAGATGATGTAGACCAGCAATGCTTATTGCACTGTGTGGTATGAATTGTAGCACTCTTTCAATTCACCTGTAAATCATCGAATCATAGAATTATACAGCAAAGAAGGAGGCCATTCAGTCCATCGTGTCTGTGCCGGCTCTTTGAAAAATCAATCCCACTCCCCCGTGCTCTCCCCATAGCCCTACAAACGTGTCCTCCCCAAATAATTATCCAGTTCTCTCTTAAAACGTGTTATCGAATTGGCTTCCACCACCCTTTCAGGCAATGCATTCCAGAGCCAACAATTCGCTGTGTGAAAACATTTCTCCTCACCTCCCCTCTGTTTCTTTTAAATAATTCTTGACAAACTTGCTGCATATACCTCTGGTCTTTATTGATGGGCTGCCCAACTATGGCAGTTTCATTGAGGATAACTGGTTGTGTATAGCAGTTACAGGAAAGGGCTTTCTACAGAAACGGATGATGCAAGTTTTTTAGTCAAGCTTGGCATCCGCCCATTGAAAATATTGACTTCAACTCAAACTTACTGCCCTGAGAATAATTATTGAACCTGCGGGCCAAAAAAGCCAGACAAGCTACTGTAAAAGACAGAGTTACATCTCACTTTTGGCTGAAGTAACAAAAGTTAGGATAAAACAACTAAAAATTATTTTGACCTCACGGTTAGGATGTGGAAAAATAATTCTTTTTACTCTCGGGTAAATTTGCGATTTTTTTTACACATAACTCAGAATTTTGCATATGTCAACCATATGTCAACCACCTAAACATGGAAATTTCTCTACATTTGCAATGGAATGTGCACTCTCTCCCTGGAGGGATGCATCCTGCTTACCTAATTCTGGAAAGTATGAGGCTCAGGTTGGCAAGAGCCAAGACTTGCAGAACCCAAAGTGTGTGCTGTTGCTGGAATTTATCCAACTAAAACCACAGAACTTGCCATTGAGAGCACTGTCTGCCAAACTTCCCACTGCTTTTCCAGCTGGGACCACGCTATCTGTTAGGGCTTTGACTTGCATGGTTAACAGGAGCTGAATGGGAAAAAAATACTGCGAACCCACCTAGCTCAAGAAAGATAACCAAATTGGGCACAGAAGTTTGACTGGATATCAAGGTTCTGTTACCAAGAAAGTTACTTTAGAACCAGTTCAGCTCCAAATTTACTAATATTTTTGTTTGCTATTGGCTCCCTACTTGTCATGGGATTTTACTCGGTTAGTTCCTGGGATAAGGGGACTGACCTATGAGGATAGGCTGAATAAACCAGGGCTATATTCTCTAGAGTACAGAAGAATTAGGGGAGATCTTATTGAAACATATAAGATTCTTAAAGGGCTGGATGGACACAGAGGGATTGTTTCCCCTGGTAGGAGAATCCATAACCAGGTGTCACAGTCTTAAAATTAACGGTAAGGTATTATATCAAATGCAAGGATTATTATTATTATTTTGAGATATTCTTCACATGAAAGACACTTTACAAGTGCAAATTTATATGTTTCAATAAGAGGGTGAATCTATGCTGCACCCCCTCTAGGGCAAGTATGTCCTTTTTTAAATAAGGAGACCAAAACTGCACATAATACTCTAGGTGCGGTCTCACCAATGCCCTATACAGTTGCAGCAAGACTTCCCTACTCTTGTACTCTAAATCTTTTGCAATGAACGCTAACATGCCATTCGCCTTCTTAGTTGCTGCTGCACCTGCAAACTAACTTTTTGAGACTGGTGTACAAGGACACCCAAATCCCTCTGCACACTAACACTATCTAATCTCTCCCCCTCTAGAAAATAATCTGTTTTTCTATTTTTTCTACCGAGGTGAATAACTTCTCACTTCCCCACATTAAATTCCATCTGCCACCTACTCGCCCGCTCCCCTCGCCTATCATCCTCAGAGCTTACTCTCCCACCTAGTTTAGTGTCATCCGGGAATTTAGATACGTTACATTCAATGTCCTCGTCTAGATCATTGATGTAAATTGTAAATAGCTGAGGCCCAAGCGCTGATCCTTGTGGTACTCCACTAATGTGATTTCATATTAGTAAAATTGAACAAGCTATCAACCAGTAGGTTCCCGAAGAGAACGATGATACTGTTTCCTTAAAAATGGATGCAGCCCTGATGCTCACGCGACAAAGTTAGAGATACTTTGATGGAAAACGATTTGTGTTGTATGAGGAGTTCGATGTTCTTTCTTTTATTCAAAGTGAGCAGCGTGTATGGACAAACTTAATACTAATAATAATCCTTACATTTGATGTTGCGCCTTATCACGTCGTTGAGACAACTCACAGCGCTTCACAGAATATACTGTGAAGTGTAGTGACTGTGTATTTTGTGGACGACACAAACTTAAGGCTGTTAAAACGCCTTACCTTTTTGTTGGTGCTTGTTGTTGAGCTAATTTTTAATTCCAGCAAACTGCTGGTTATAAAATCTAAACCTACAAGATGAAACTTTTCTTATAGGCAGGATCACAAACTGCACAATAAGATCACACTTCTCTCTCTCTCTCTCTCTCTCTCAATGTTGTCAATACATCAGCTAATCATCAGCTTTATTGATGCCTCTATTCGGCTCGGAAGAGGTTTTCTTCTTTTGCGCAGTATTTTGAAAAATATGATAAATTTGAAATATTTGGTCATGATGAAAACGAGAAAACAGGTCAATTGGCTAAAAATATTATTTGGAAGAAAAAAAACCCCAAAGGGTGGGGCAATATGTTAATGTCAATACATGTACAGAAGTATTATACTGTTCCTCACTTAACCAGAGCTGGTTTGAGGTTGTCTCATATATATATATATATATGTATGTATGTTCCTCCAGTATAGTAGAGTCTATTCTGTTTGCAGGCTTTGCTGTGCAGTACCTGATGGCTGATCTGGCTGTTGCAGTGCTGGCTTTAGGAGGTGTGTTTCACTGTGCTGCAGTTATAAAGAGGCTGTCCTAAAATCCAACCAAATGATGCAGCAGTTTTTGATGTTTATGATGCGGATTTTTTTTTTTTGCAAGTGTGCACAAGGTTGTTTAGTGCAGTGAGAGGAGGAGGAGAGGGTGGGGTGGTGGTGGGGGGGTGGGTGGGGGGGGGGAGATTTTTTTTAACTTTACTTGGGAATTGCCTGCACTGCGTCTAAACTGTCTGGGTATCCTGTGTGAGAGGGGAGCTTTGCATTAGGATAAAACTGTGGCTTTTTTCACTGCAATGTGGGAGTGGGAGCATCATTGCTTGGCTCTTGCTGCTGAATGAGTGTGAGAGGGGTGGGGGGGGAGTGGTGGTGGTGGTGGTGGTGGGGGGGTGGACACTGCATTGCCTTGAGCTGCACTCTGCAGAGCATTAGCTCTCTCTTGTTTTTCTCTCTCTCTCTGGTGTGTGCTGATCACTGCAATGCTAAAGGAATGAGCAGTCAGCTTGGCTGGTTAATGTATTCAAGTCCTTCCACATTGCACCACATGATGCATCCATCCTTCTCAAAGGGGGCAAGGATGATGTACCAGTAAGGATTAGGTTCTCCCCCACACCCCCACCACCCCCCCACCCCCCCTTTCCTCTCCTCCCAGGCAGACCATGTAGCTTTAATGCAATATCATACACATGCACATTTAGATTTTTTTCTCCCTGCATATTGTTATGTTGTAATGACAAAAAAAAAAGCAAAACCCTCCAGTGTTTTACCCAGTTTTCTGCCTTCTTCTGCTGCAGACCGATGTCAGGAAGGGATGGCTTGTGCACAGTGTCAGGGCGGTGTAATATAGTCTATTAATATTTCAGCAGATCTCTGATACACAAAAGCTGTAATTCGATATCCATATTAAGGAGAGAGAGAGGGGGAGAGAGAGAGAGGGAGAGAGAGAAAGAGAGGTAGAAGAAAGCAGAGAAGATAGCTTTGCCATGACTGTGAGTCTGGATGCATTCCTGCAGTGCTGAAGCTCTCTTATCAGGTAAGTTGCTCTCCTTTCTCCTCTCCTTCTCTCTCCCTCCCTCTCCCCCTCCCTCTCTCTCTCTCCCTCTCCCCCTCTCTCTCTCTCCCTCTCCCCCTCTCTCTCTCCCTCTCCCCCTCTCTCCTCCCTTCTCCCCCTCTCTCTCTCCCTCTCCCCCTCCCTCTCTCCCTCTCCCCCTCTCTCTCCCTCTCTCTCTCCCTCTCCCCCTCTCTCCCCCTCCCTCTCTCCCCTCTCTCTCCTCTCCCCTCTCCCTCCCTCTCCCTCCCTCTCTCCCTCTCCCCTTCCTCTCCATCTCCCCTCTCCCTCCCTCTCCTCTCTCTCCCCCTCTCTCTCTCCCTCCCCCTCCCTCTCTCCCCTCTCTCCCCCTCTCCTCTCCCCTCTCCCCTCTCTCTCTCCCTCTCTCCCTCTCTCCTCCCTCTCCCCCTCCCTCTCTCCCTCTCTCTCCCTCCCTCTCTCTCCCCCTCTCTCTCTCCCTCTCCCCCTCTCCTCTCCCTCTCCCCCCCTCTCTCTCCCCCTCTCCCCCTCTCCCTCTCCCCCTCCCCCTCTCCCCCTCTCTCTCTCTCTCTCTCTCTCTCCCTCTCTCTCTCTCTCCCCTCTCTCTCTCTCCCTCTCCCTCTCCTCATTCAGCTCTGAGGGGTTTTCTGCATTTCGTCCCCCACCTCTGGTCCCCCCTCCAGTAACACCGCCGCGGGTTCACCCGAATGGATATTTCTGCAGTACATAGAGAGGAGGATTTGAGCATAACATGTCGAGCAAACACACACTGACACACACTGACACATCAGCATCCCATCCTGTCTGAGCCAGGCTCACCCAGGGCTGAGCCAGGCTAACACAGGGCTGAGCCAGGCTAACACAGGGCTGAGCCAGGCTAACACAGGGCTGAGCCAGGCTAACACAGTACAGGACTGAGCCAGGCTAACGCAGTACAGGACTGACCAGGCTAACACAGTGTAGAACTGAGCCAGGCTAACGCAGTACAGGACTGAGCCAGGCTAACGCAGTACATGACTGAGCCAGGCTAACGCAGTACATGACTGAGCCAGGCTAACGCAGTACATGACTGAGCCAGGCTAACGCAGTACATGGCTGAGCCAGGCTAACGCAGTACATGACTGAGCCAGGCTAACGCAACACATGACTGAGCCAGGCTAACGCAACACATGACTGAGCCAGGCTAACACAGTACAGGACTGAACCAGGCTAACACAGTACATGACTGAGCCAGGCTAACACAGTACAGGAATGAGACAGGTTAATGCAGTACAGGACTGAGCCAGGCTAACACAGGTCTGAGCCAGGCTAGTACAGGACTGAGCCAAGCTAGTACAGGACTGAGCCAGCTAGTACAGGACTGAGCCAGGCTAGTGCAGTACTTGAGCCAGGAGTGTACAGGCTAGTACAGGACTGAGCCAGGCTAACACAGCACAGGTCTGAGCCAGGCTAGTACATGACTGAGCCAAGCTAGTACAGGACTGAGCCAGGCTAGTGCAGTACTTGAGCCAGGAGTGTACAGGCTCGTACAGGACTGAGCCAGGCTAACACAGCACAGGACTGAGCCAGGCTAGTACAGGGCTGAGCCGGCTAGTATGGGACTGAGCCAGGCTCGTACAGTACTTGAGTCAGGCTAGTACAGTACTGAAACAGGCTAATGCAATACTTGAGCCAGGCTAGTACAGGTCTGAGCCAGGCTAGTACAGGTCTGAGCCAGGCTAGTACAGGACTGAGCCAGGCTAGTACAGGACTGAGCCAGGCTAGTACAGGTCTGAGCCAGGCTAGTACAGGTCTGAGCCAGGATAGTACAGGACTGAGCCAGGCTAGTACAGGTCTGAGCCAGGCTAGTACAGGACTGAGCCAGGCTAACAGTACAATTCTTTTGCATGTTAATCTGAACCTAAGTTTTTTTTTGTGTGTGTGTTTGTGTGTGTGTGTTTGTGTGTAAAGTTCCTATTCTGCAGCATCCATCTACTCTACTGTGTGTGCATCTTGGGGTCTACTACCTTGATCTCCTGAAGTTAAAAGGCGTTCTATAATTTAAAAAAAAAAAAAATCGCTGAGTTGGCAACATCACACCACTCCACCACTTCGATCCATTTTAATTGAGAGCCAGACAGAGAGAGCAAGAGAGAGAGAGAGACACACACACACATCGGAAAGCAAGACAGCAATGCTGGAGTCAGCGGGAAAACCAAAAGCGAGACGTTAAAGTGATATCAGCAACAACAAACTCAAAGCCCTGCTTCCGAATGCCCCATCGAGGGGAACCAACCATCCCTGGATCTGATAGATTAAAACATCTCAACTGCTCGAAAGACTAAAACCCACCGAGGTACAAGCATAAAACAACAGCAGCAGCGAAGAGAAGGTTTGCCAGGATGACTGTTTTAGCAGGCGACAACATAGATGAAGCCTCCGCCTTGCCTGGACACCCTCAAGACAGTTACCAACCCGACCATGAGGACCACGAGTGTTGTGAGCGGGTGGTCATCAACATCTCGGGGCTGCGGTTCGAGACCCAGCTCAAGACCCTGTCCCAGTTCCCCAACACCATGCTGGGCAACCCCAAGAAGAGAATGCGCTATTTCGACCCCTTGCGAAACGAGTACTTCTTCGACCGCAACCGCCCCAGCTTCGACGCCATCCTCTACTATTACCAGTCAGGTGGCCGGCTAAGGAGACCCGTCAACGTGCCCCTGGACATGTTCTCGGAGGAGATCAAATTTTACGAGCTGGGGGAAGAGGCAATGGAGAAGTTCCGCGAGGATGAAGGCTTTATCAAAGAGGAGGAACGCCCATTGCCAGAGAATGAGTACCAACGTCAAGTCTGGCTCTTATTCGAGCATCCCGAGAGTTCTGGACCAGCCAGGGGCATTGCCATAGTCTCGGTCATGGTCATTTTGATCTCCATCGTTATCTTTTGCTTGGAAACCCTGCCAGAGTTGAAGGATGACAAGGATGTTGCGAGTAGGACAGTGACCATTGGCAACGTCACGACTATTTACAAGCAGAACATCCTCACCGATCCCTTCTTCATCGTGGAGACCCTCTGCATCATCTGGTTCTCCTTTGAGCTGATCGTCAGGTTTTTCGCCTGTCCCAGCAAAGCGGAGTTCTTCAAGAACATCATGAACTTCATTGACATCGTGGCCATCATCCCCTATTTCATCACCTTGGGCACCGAACTGGCTGATGAAAAAGGGGAGGAGAATAAGAGTGGGGAGCAAGCCACCTCTTTGGCCATCCTAAGGGTCATTCGGCTGGTTCGGGTGTTCAGGATTTTCAAGCTGTCCAGGCACTCCAAGGGCCTGCAGATTCTAGGGCAGACTCTCAAAGCCAGCATGAGAGAGTTGGGACTGCTTATATTTTTCCTCTTCATTGGAGTCATCTTGTTCTCCAGCGCCGTGTTCTTCGCTGAAGCTGACGACCCCGATTCCTTGTTCACCAGCATCCCAGATGCTTTCTGGTGGGCTGTCGTGTCCATGACCACTGTGGGCTATGGCGACATGTACCCCGTCACCATCGGGGGTAAAATCGTGGGGTCACTGTGTGCCATCGCTGGGGTGTTGACCATTGCCCTCCCTGTGCCTGTCATCGTCTCTAACTTTAACTACTTCTACCATAGAGAGACCGAAGGGGAGGAACAGGCTCAGTACCTGCACGTTAGTTGCCCCAACATCGCTTCAGAGAGCGACGTGAGAAGCCACAGCTCCACCACCATCAGCAAATCCGAGTACATGGAGATCGCGGAAGACATGAAAAACAGCATAGACAACTTCAGAGAAGCCAATCTTAGAACTGGCGAGTGGACTGTAGCAAACCAAAACTGTGTGAATAAAAACAAGCTGCTGACAGATGTTTAAAGAGGGAAGAAAAAAATAATAATACAAAAAAACCCTGGACTGAATGAAGTGATAGGGTCACACATTGTAGATACTGCACTAATCAATCCTTGTATTGCTTTGTTTACCTCGTAAATGCATTGATGCATTGCAGTTATGCTCAGTGAAATAAGCTTTCAGAAATACGTGAAAGGTATATTTTTCATTTATTTTTTAAATGGCTTTCTCTCTCCCCCTAACTGGGGTTAACAAAAAAAAACAAAAAAAAGGAAATCTTTACAGATACGTTTACGTGAGCACTTACATTCATTCTCCTCGAACCCTTGTTGACTTATTCTGCTGCTCGTCTGTCTTGAAAAGACAACCCAATTCAGCTCATTTACCAACAGCAATGCATGTGTTAAAAGGTACGATTCTGCAAGATGCACAAGGGGACCATTATACAAACGCATCCGATTTCTAAGTTCTGGTGAGAACATGCAAGCATCTGCAGCGATCGATTCACTCACTGAAGAATATTTTTTCGAGTTTTGAAGGATGATGTGATTGATGGCTTTGCATCGACAGAAGATCGCATCAAATCACCGACCTCCATCTACACAAAAAAAGAACCCCACACAAGAGACTGAATTTTTTTGCCTCAAATTTATGATGTAACAATGAATCTTTGGAAAACACCTGCAATGCCGCAATGGTGCAAGATTGTTAATAATTCGTATGCTTCCAAGACTGGATGTAAGATTATCTGTCCCCGATTTGTTGCAAAACAGCATAATGCAAAAAAAAAATCTCCAACCTAAAAATAGTAGCATGTCCTGGTGTTATTCACTTTTATCCATTATTAACTTTTGTCGTGGCATGACTGGAACATTACTTATATATAAAAAAAAGGAAAAAATATTTGTTTGGGTTTAAATTCAATTTACTTGAAACTTGTTTCCTTTCACCAAAAGTGCAGTCATTATTTATCATGTAATTTATTATTTACAAGCACTCATGTTCCCGATTGTTAACTTGTAATGGGGTAGGATAATTTTAGAAAATCATAGCATGTTTAACTATTTAGCATTATGGCCTATTTGGGATAGGTAATATGTAACCCAGTATAACGTATGCATGACTTGAGCTTTGGGGAAAAAAAGGTTGAATTATAAATATAGAAGGACATTGAGGGACCTGATGATTTTCCTGCAGAATTTCAGGGAAATGAGTTGGTTCATGTCCTCACATTGTTCAAAATATGATATAACATATCCTAATTACTTCTGGGGAAATAAATCTCTGAATCAAAGGAAAACAGGTTAGAGAATGTATATACTTACATACGGTTCTACCTAAATTAAAAAAAGAATTATTCAGTGATTTTAAAAAAAAAAGCATGACTTTGGTGCATTTTAGCAGAATGTAAATGTAAAATATGTGTAAAGGACGCATTTCAATTGCAGTTAGTTTCCTAATCAGTTCCTGATTGAGATAAGAACATTTGTTTTTGAGCTTCCCTATACTTTATTGCAGAAACTCAGCAAATGAGATAGTTGCTAGTGCCTTTTAAACCCTTAATAGCCCAGAGTGATGGAAGTGCCTGCATGTACAAAGAATTGTTGTGAGCTGGCATCCAGAGAAATCCTCTTAATCTGCAACACAATGAAATGTACCATCTAATTTCTATCCAAAGAGTCTGGCAAATGTTTCAGATGCTAGGGCCAATGGACAGTTGTCTTGGCAACACAAGGGTGGAAAATATAGACCAGATGTTTGTACAACACAGTTCTGAAAATGACAGTATTTAAACCAGCTGGTGAGAGATGTAGGAAGTGAAGAATGCAAAAATACCTTAGCAACTGGACATTACAATTGAGCAAGAGATGCCTGATAAATAATCTTTGATGGTTTCCCCCCTCTCCATCGTATTGATTTGAAAACAAAAGCAACACACTAAACAACAACAGAAAACATTGCATCCATACAGCACCTTTCACGTTGGGAGGACATCCCAAGGTGCTGAAAGTCAGTGTTCAGAACCTGAAAGCGAATACACAGACCTACCCTGATCTTCAAAAACTTCAAATACCACAGAAGAATGTCAACTTCATCTCATTGTGTCTACCCGCATAAGCTACAACATACCAAAAATATTTTAAGAAGAAAGGAGTTTCATGGCAGACTACCTCAGTTCAGATTGATGGAAAAGCAAGGACTGTTTTATTGCGTGGCTCCAGACTGAGGAATTATCTTTTTGTTTTTGGCAACTTCAAGTGCACACAAACAACTTTTTAAATGCAGGTTCTTCCTGAATATTCTTTACTATCTTCTATTCTGGAGCCACACCTGCAAGTCAAAATCAGTGCTATATATATACTCTACATATATATATCTATATATCTATGTTGCCAACCTCTCTTGTTTAGCTAGTCACTGTCCTCCTTAGCGTCATTCTAGAGAGAATTGTCACAGCTCATTCCATCATGACAGTTAAGACCAGAAGCTCTCAAAAACATCATATCTCAAAGTGAGGGACTATCGTATTAATATTTGGAAACCTGCATGACAATTTCTCGAAGACCTGGAGAAACAACAAGAACTAAATTTTTGTAATGATATCACGAGAAGTCTTCAGACAACGGTATACAGTTCAATCTGCATCGCTCGCAAGAGACAGATTCCCAATCGCAGGATAATACAGACTGAGTGAGAAACAGCAAGACCTGATTAAATCTTGGAAGGAAGGAAATTAAGGCACGGAACAATAATTTGAAATATCCTTCAAGCTTGAGGTATGCAAGTGAAAGCGATTTCACGAAGGATGCAATTACAACCATTACGTATAAACTGAGTTAACTGAGAGTAAAAAAAATGAAAGTGATATGAAGGAATTTTGAATGACTTGATGAACTGCAATTGCTGTTGACAACAGGGCATTAACTTCTTCATGTAGAATATGTAAATCGCCCATAACCTGGTTGTCCTGACACTTCTACATCACATAAACTTTGAGGTAGGAGAAAACTTTCCCCTGTGTTAAATGACTTGAATACTGCACTCAATAAACAGCAATAAATGATCCAATGCTGCAGGACTGCTTTGATAATTCTATGTAGCTTCTGGCAGGTCATGTTTATTTTGTCAATTGAGTTACTAGTTATTGGGGAAATGCGCTTTAAGTTAGCCTTTAGCTGCATGTGACTGCGTACTGCATGCAGCTTTTTGATAAGAAAGGTTCTGAAAATCAAGTGGATGGGTTAGGGTACCGATGATACAGTACTTAAGATGTTTATTTATAAACCATTTCGGCTGAACTAAAAGATCTGAGATATGGAGGAAATCTAATGTAATATAGGCATGTATTTCGGATTAAAAACAGTTTTGGTAGATATTCCTAATCCTGCACTGGCTAGGCAAACATGTTATAGAAAGGCCTGAATGTACACACACAAGATGGCTGTTTGTAAACAGAATACTGACAGAGCCTCTTTTTAACGCAACCATTAAAATGCTTGTAGTGGGGGAGGAATTAACAATTCAATACACCAAGAATGGCTGTCTTGGTGCAGTGGTTTGTAAAATGGCTGTGCCCAGTTTAAAGTGGTTTGCTCTGAACACAATGCATCAAAGCAATATCGTCACAAAGAGGACCTCTCTATCATTTGTTTCTGAGGTAGAATATAAGTGCATTTGATCTAGAAATAAACACTGAGAAGAAATGGGAGGTCAGATTATGCATACAATGTAGAGCACAACACATCACTGAAGAGCACAATTCTATTTCAGCTCAGAATTAAGTGATGGAGGTCTATTTTTAAATATCGTTACACATAAATTATATTCTCGTAGTTTTAGTCTGCACTCTTGATGCTTTTGAAATATGAGGATGTGACCAAAACAACCCATGTTTTAATGACGTTAGGTTTGATTCACTTCAGTTAAAGGTACTGCACAGAATTGGCTTTGGCGGGTGCAGTAGATTCTTAAGCTAAGGATAAGTTAAGGTGGAAGTTGATGCTACATCTTGCGACAATGCACTTTATTTGTGGCTGCCACAATGGTTAGCACCACACTTTGGCTTCACGAAATAGAAAAAAATCTTATTCTCGAGTGCTGTCAGAAGTAACCTTTAATAAACATTAAAAAAATGCACTTTAAAATTCAGCACAAATTGCCTTAACTGGTATATTGATCTTAAAGGTGAAAAGAGGCTCTGCAACCGGTATACTATCAGGTCCAGGACATTTACGTTTGAATGGCCATATTATTATAATTATTATTATGATTACAGTCATTTAATAGAGTTTTTGTTTTGTAAAAGCTCACGTTAACAGGCTTGTTTATTTCCCTTTTAGGGATGTCATGATACTATGACAACATATTGCAATATGTAAATTCATGTAAATATCTGATTATCCCCCCCCTCGGATAATTGTAAGCATAATAACATTTGAAGTTATGATAAGCTCACGGGGAATGTAGTTGTGGACACTGGACAAAAAAGACAATCTCCTAATAACGTAGACAAATCATGATTCTTGAGAAATGTCAGCATTAATTAGAATGATTCCGTTCAGATTCTTGCACTATCGCAACGCAGTGAAATTGAAGCATTTTGTTATCAGAAATCACATTGTGACATCCCTACTCGTTTGGCATACACCGTTTCAGTCTTCCAACTAATTATTTATACGTTATGCCTGTTTACTGTCATAAACATGCCTATATTTTTGTTTTATAAAAATATTTGTTATTTAAAAGCATATTTTCCTGCCCGATGAATTCTATTCAATGTATCAAACACTTTATCTTCCCCTTATATTTAATAACAAATTAAAGATGAATCTCCAAGCTCTGATTCAGATATGTCCAGACTGGTTATTTTCAAACTTCTGAAATCAGTATCAGGTATAAAACATTTTAGTGATCTATTGTTGGAACACACTAAAATCATTCATGTATAAAGCTACATCAAACTATTCCCTTGAATGTCAAAGGTTAAGAGAGCTTCTGATTGAGGTTTTTCAAATAGTGAAGGGATTCGATAGGGCAGCTGCAGAGAAACTATTTCTTCTGGTGGGGGAATCCAGAACAAGAAGGACGTAATCTTAAAATTAGAGCTAAGCCATTTAGGAGTGAAAATCAGGAAGCATTTTATCACCCAAAGGGTTACTGGAAATCTGGAACTCTCTCCCCCAAAAGGCAGTGATGGTGAATTCATTCAATTTTTCAAAACTGAGGTGGATAGATTTTTGTCAGTTAAAGGTATCGAGGGATATGGGGCAAAGGCAGGTAATTGGTGTTGAGGTACAGATCAGCTATGAATGGCGGAACAGGCTCGAGGGGATGAATGGCCTACTCCTGTTCCTAACTCATATTGACTGGAATTACTGTCATGCAGTTGCTGCCCAAGCGACGTAAAATATTTTTCTTTGTGTATTTGTGATCTCTAAACAAAATAACTTTTAGGCCAACTCAGATGTTTTTTTTTCTATTGACTATATCTTGGAAAATTGAGTTAAATCAAATAGATATAATATTAAGTGATGCATTGTATGGTAAGCATAGTGCACTACGGCCAGCCAGATATGATGCAAACACCCATACCTTGAGTGAGTTGGATGCTCTTTCGTGTAAATGAAACAACACCATATTTAACAATCCCAGAGCTTGTTCTGTTTATTTTTTTATATAGGTGCATGATATTCTGTTTAGTGTTGGCTGGTGATATGCATGCAGTATAAGCATATTTCACAGGTATGAATTATTGTTTTTATACATTAACTGAAATCTGAAATATAATATAATGTGATATAATAACACTAAGTTCAGGCTTTGGGATTGCCAGCGCAAAATGGCAATGTACAGCTGATTACATGTGCTGCATGAATCTATTACACATACATTTAAAAAAAATATTTTTGTGATTCGTATTTGAATAATATTTATTTGATTGTATGACTCTTCTGGGATGTTGTGGCATTGGGGATAAGTCAAGCCCTATTGGCCAGTTCATAGCTGCAGAAAGGATAGCATAGGCTGCTTTTTGGTGAGAATTCTCTGCGATTCTCATTACTGCATTTTCTTGTGGGGATAATCGAATGCATCGATGTCAGTGACTTGTTACATTGCAGATAGCTGACTGCAGTCTGTTTTTAATGGCCTTCATTTAGTAAATTATTAAATACTTGTAAACTGATAATAGACCTGTGGCCTGGGGTGTTTTTTTTTCTGTGATGGCACTAAGTTGCGTTTCTGCATTATACCAGTTATGTGTTGAGGAAAGCAAAATGAAGGGGGAAAAAATCATCATATAATATATTCTTGTTCATAATGGGAGTTGGGTCTTGATATGTAAGTGCTATTAGTGCTGTGGCAAAAAATTGACAAGAT